TGAAAATGTTTGTCACATGTTCATGGAAAGACAAAGAGCTACTTATGGTTAAGCTAAGATTTTTAGCACTGTCTACCCAGTCAATTTCTGCGTTATGCATTAGTGATTTTAATCGATTATCTCCAAAAAGGAAAAACCATTACAAGAGCATACTACGCATCTATACTTGAGAAGCTGAAGGCAGAACTTGTGAAAAAACGGCCACATTTTCAGAAAATGAATCTGTTTCAACAAGACAACGCATCGTCTCACACCTCAGCGGTTGCCATGGCTGAAATCCACGAATTACGGTTTGAACTGTTTGACCATCCGCCTTACTGATCAGACCTAGTCCCAAGCGACTTATTTTTGTTCCGTCATCTAGAAATTGCGTTCGGAGGACAGAGATTTTCGTCAAATGAAGAGACAATCAACTTCATGAACGATTATCTTGCAGAGAAAACCGCTGAGTACTATTTGGACGGGTTACAGAGATGGGAGGAAAGCTGGAAGAAGTGTGTAGAGTTGAAAGGGGAATATGTTGAAAAGAAAATCTGAAAAAATGTCTTGTATCTTTGTTAGGTCGGAACTTTTCAGATCACCCTCGTATGACTTTCTCTACTTTCTCAAAGTTTTCGAAGACGTGTCTTCTTTCATTTTCTTCTCCCTGTTTTTCGCAGTATTTTAAGTGACGACGTGTGAGTAAAAAAGTTTCAGATAAAGATTAAAATTATGTTTCGTGTTCATATTTCATCGTTCAATCTGTCATGGAGAGTGGAAAACCGGTATAAACAGACTAATTGAATACTTTGAGCCACCCAGTATGAACTATTTTCCGTTCTCCCATCCGCAATATTCCAATCCACATTTCGAAGTTGTGATTTATTAGAAAAAATAAATTCACTATTTTCTATACAAATTGAATTATTGTCACCACATTCCGCTTGTTCAAAATCAATTCCTCTGTACAAACGTGACCGCATGCCATGTCGGAATAAAATTGAAAATATACTCCATAATAAATTCTGTTCGTGTCGATTCTAGCATAACATTCCTATAAATTATATAGGAAAATTATGTTAAAAAGAACCGCTTTGGTGAACAACGCCAATTGAACACACTGCATTCAGATCGTATTATGCATTAATGTGGTAGCACAAACAACTGGGCCTTTTCTCAACTGCGATCGGAAAACAATTTAGTACTCCTCGTTGCAAATTGAATGTTTGTGGGTGTTCGAGTTAGGGGGAGTATATTGATAGTTGAGCAATTGAGTTTACAAACTAGTTGAAGCTATTCCACATGGGTTGTTCAATTGGAAAACTTAGTTGAACGCCTGGGCAAAACTCGACGTGGAACCGAATGAAATTTCAGGTTTCTCTGTTCGAAATCACATTCAATCAAGGCAGTAATTGAACCACAGTATATATGAACAAATTATTATGGCCATTGACATCGAAAAAAAAACGAAAACGTTAGCTGGGGACAAAGCAACAAACGTGTATTGCAGGAATTAAACAATTCATAGCATCCGAAATTATATACAGAAGAATATGATGACTTCTAAGGAGAGACCTGCTTGAACTTGTACACAAAACAATGGAATTGGTGTCAATCTGTCTCTGTATCTGTAGAGTAAGGAGGGTAAGTGCAGATTCACAGCTCTTAGGCCATGTAATAACTGCCATTGCGATAGTAACATAAAATATTATTTTATTCATTGAAATCGAGGTTGATTACCCGTTTCATCAGTGTCGATATTTTTTTCAGTTGAAAAAGCGCTGAATTACTGTGGGACCTTCGAGCGTCGTTGTGGTCATGTTAAAATTGAGTTAGACTAAACAAATGAATATATTGCATCCTGCCGATGATCAACGCTTGAGAAGGTTGAAAAAACGCTGAGATGAGACAGAAAAAAGTCAGTCGCCAGATCCCGTCGGGACGAGATCGGGGGTCTCATACCTCAGCCTTCGAGGCTGAGAGAGGTGATCAAAATAGGGGAGCTACTTTGTTTGTGAGCGCGTCGGGCGGAATTTGAAAAAAATCGATAGTGAAATCTTAAACCGGTATTGGGTACAGGGGAGTTTAAATTGAAAGTGTTGGTGCAGAAGACACACCGGGTCAACGGAACCTATGGTTGACCACGAACCACCCAAAGAGGATTTATGTGAGTGTTTGTTATTTTTTTTATACTATACTTACTAAGCCCTCGACAAGACTACATACAACTAACGAAAATCTGCATGGAACAGCATTGCTTCCAGTTCAACAACTACTTACAGACAGCGCGAAAATACGGCAATGCGGAAACCACTATCCCCCTTCATAACTAATTTGTTGAAGAACAGATTTGAATTAGAAGCGAAAGAGGAATTACACTAGTCTCCACGGGCTTAGATCCGATGTGCAGATGATGTGGTGTGCTATTCAAAAAATAAGGTAGATATTCAAAATTCGCGGGCTAAGTACATTCGATCAGCGATTCTTTCAATTTTTTATTTCGGTACACTCGTCCCTGACATATGTTCACAATTTTAGCTGTTTACTATGTCTAGTTTGTTGGTGTTGGTTGTCTAGTTTTGTGTGAAAACTGGAACTAAGTGCTCAAAAACATTCGAAATATTGACAGTGGCATACAGTGATTGTACCCTGAGTCAGAAAAATGTTTACAAGCTTTTCACAGAAGATCGAAAATATAAAAATGACGACGCTCGCCCTGTACGCCCAAACACATCATCAACCGATGAAAATATTGACAAAGTAAAGAAAATTGTTATGGAGAATCGTCGAATCACTATTAGAGGAGTTGCTGAGGAATTTTGAGCATGAAGCATGTGGCAGCGAAGTTCGTTCTTAAATTGCTGAATTTTGACAAAATAAAAACCGTCGTATGAGCATCACTCAAGAATTTTTGAATGACGCCAACGGCGATCCGGATTTGCTCATACCTGGTGAAGAATCATGAGTATATGGTAATGACATCGAAGCCAAAGTCCAATCGTCCCAATGTCAGAGGCCAGGAGAGCCGAGACCAAAAAAAGCAGACTGAGTTCGATCAAATGACAAGGTTTTGCTCAGTGTTTTCTTCGATTACCGTGGCGTAGTGCATCAGGACTGCTCACCACATGGATAATGACACCACAGCAAGGAAAAACATCTTTTGTGAATGATTCAAGGCATTTTGTAGAACTACTAAGGGCAATCTAAGTCACAGAACAGGATCAACTAATCAGTTTAGACATGGAAAGCCTCTACACCAAAGTTCCTGTCGAAAAAGCACTTCAAATCATACAAAAGAAGCTATCCGAAAATGGGGACCTGAAAAATAGAACAAACTCACCGATACAAGTAATCATAGGATTAATAGGATGCTGTGTACGAAACTGCTACTTTCAACTGGAGGAAGAATTTTTTACACAAGATAAGGAACTGCCAATGGGATCGCCACTTTCACCGGTTATAGCCAACATATATATGGAGTGATTTGAATCTCTAGCCATTGAAGAAGCCCACAAGAAGCCCCGAGTCTGGTTGGGATACGTTTACGACACCCTCATAATATGGAACCATGGGAATGCAGAACTAGACACCTTCCTGAAGCACATCAACAACGTAAGTCCTTCCATCACTTTTACAATGGAGAAAGAGGTCTACAACGAATTGCCATTCTTAGACGTATTGGTGAAGAGGACGGACACTAAATGGGAAATCTGTATACCAAAAACTCACTCACAAGGAAGAGTATCTGAACCAGGAATCCAATCACCATTAATCGACTAAGAGAGGAATCATCGAGACTCTAATAGACCGCTCTTTCAGGCTCTGTAAGGCAAAGGAAGGTCTCGAAAAGAAACTAGGCAACTATTCAACGGAATAGTTACTCCATAGTGATGATCGAACAGACTTTGGCTAGAAGACAGCAAGAGCCTCACAAGGAAAAGAAGGCGCCACATCCAATAATTGAACTTCCCTACATCAGAGACTGCGGACTGCGCTTCCAAGAATTGCTTTTACCGGATACCCTGCGAGTGTGGAGAATCATACATCGGTGAAACTAAGAGACCATTGAAAGCTCGCATTGTCGAGCACAAGAAACACACACAGCGAAAAGAAACCAGCAAATAAGGAGTACCAGAGCATGCATGGACACATCAACATAACATCAATTGGTCTCAAGCTGAAACTATCCACAAGGAGGAACACTGGTTTAGGAGAAAATTCAAAGAAGCCGCACATATGTTGTGCAATAACGCATTCAACCAAGCTGGCGTAGAGATACGCAAACCTATAATCAAGCGGAACACGACCAACTCGCGCCAAACGTCGTGAAGTTAGTCGGCTTGGAATCTTTGAATTTCAAATTTTCATTTCCAAATTAGACGACTTCTGTTTCAATAGATCACTAATATTACAACGAGGAGTTACCATTCTTGAAAGTCTTAGTGATTAGCATCTAGTGTCCAGGAATTATTGTTGATAGGATGTACTTATAGATGTATTTCTGATAGCTGGCACCATTGTTCACAACATAAAATGATAGGACTGAACTTTCTAGTCTATAGGCTCGTTACTTTTCCCTTGAGTAAAAAAAAAAGATATTGAGAAGTGTTACCAGGAACAAAGCTGAAAGCAACGGAGGCTTTGAATATAGTAGTACATTATAATCCTTTTTCTGAATTTCAGTATTGATACTTTCGATTTTTTCCATCTTTGGAACTTTCGCCTTCTTTATACTTACTTCAATGTAATCTTTATATGAGGCAATAATCAACTTTATACCTCATATCCATACTGAAACTCAATGTGTCAAAAAAGATAATATTTTGAAACCATCAATCTCTCCCAGCCTATAGAAAAATGAATTTAATAACTTAAAACGCAATACAATAATTATAATACAAATCAAATCTCAGTAATTACTTCCTGGACTATTTTTTTTTACTTGTTCGTTACCATTTTTTCTCTCAATCCTCTTCCTATTTAACTCAGTCGCATCCTAAAATATTTACAAAAAAAATTGCTCAAATCGTAAAAATAATAATGTATTAAATAAATAACTGAATACATAACTCATGTTTTCGAATTATTAAAACAATTATCATAAGTACTCTTCTGTATCAACATCAACAAACATCCAATCTTCATCGGCTATATACAGTTTTTCAGTAACAGCTTTCGGTTTTCGTACATGTCCATCTTCAGATCCTGTCCATTCGTGATCATCGCTATCTATCTCTGGACTTCTTTCAATCTCTTTCCTAGGCAAATCCCAATCTTCTTCATCATCGACTGATTTACTGCATAAAATGTTGGTATCCAACTCATCTATTCTGGTGTCCAATTCATCTTCCGAATTCAAACTCGATGTGTAGGTACGACTCGGACTCAAACTTTCACATCCCAGTTTAGGCCCAATCAAACGATTAAACAAAAACATTCTCTCCATTCTCATTCTATCTCTTTTCGCTTCATAATCGCAGTCCTGCAAGTCCTCTGTATTTAGATAGTTATTCTCCAAGTCTATTTCCATGACTGTTTCCGGGTTGAAAGATATTAGTTCTATCGAATTATCATAGAGGTCTAACACTCTTAACGCTGACATGAATGTGAAATCCGGCACACTTGTTATGTAATTATCCGAAGCTTTCAGAACCTCCAAGCCTTCAAGCTTGGTGAGTTTCTCAGGAATGGCCACCATATCGTTGTTTGAAACATCTAAAACAATCAAGTTGACCATGAACTCTATTCCATCAGGTAACCATGAAATGCAGTTATCCTTCATGTGCAGCTCTGTCAAGTTCTCTAACCAGGCAATGCCTTCTGGAAAAAACGCCAGTGAAAGATTATTCATCTTCAGAATCTGCAAGTGTCGCCACTTGGGTCTGACGAAAAGTTCATCAACTTCATCCAACTTGTTGATGAACTTATCATGCTTGTTGCTGATATCCAAGTATGTCAGTGGTTTGAAGCATCTCAAGAAAGCATAGTCTGCTTGAATCAGATGACAGTTTCTCAGTTTGAGTTTTTTCAGTCTCATTATGTTGAGGTTATAACTATTTTTGAGGTACGAGTAATTATCAGCTTTGTTGGTACTATAATTCAGTTCTTCTAGATTTGTGCATCGGAACATCAGCACCCATTTAGGAAGGCTGTTGAAGCAATTATTATTCAATTTGAGAGTCCTAATGCTTGCCACGCATTCCGGCTCTAAGTGGAAGGAACTTATCACGTTATGACTCAGGTTAAGGACTTCTAAGTGTTTCAAGCCGCTATATAGGCAAATTGGAACTTCACTCAGTCTATTATGGGACAAATCCAGTTTCCTCAAATTCAAGTTACAGCACGATTTTGGCAGATCTGTTAAGCCGCAATGGGATAGTTGTAATACTGAAATATTTCTCAAGTCTATATCTGGGCTAGATGGTTCCTTCACCAGAATTATGTTGAATAAGTAGTCCACGCTGAAGGTATCTCCACTGCTATCTTTTTGATCAGTTACGCTATATATTTCTATTGATTCCGTGCCCGCTTTTGAGATCTTCAAGTTTTTATTTGTTTTTTCATATCCTACAAAAAAAGGAATAGTCGGTACTGATAAATAGAATGGTTGAAGTAATAAACAAAAAAGTGAAAACATTTAGGAATTATACCAAGAGGAATCCGAATATTCATGCAATCTATGGGATATATAGAATATGTATGCGGTTGATAGATAACTCAAACCATGCTTCAACATCTCAAGCGGTCTTCCATATGGCTTTTGGAAGCAGAGAATAACAGTCAATAGTCTTCCACATTTCACTCAATTTTGCAGTAATGCAATCAAGAGACACGGAAAGTCTTTACCTTTCGCGAATTCTCCTTGCAAATAGCCATCGATGTTTACCATCACCGCTGGTGTGACTCAGAACCCACGTTGCTACTTTTTTATCTATTGTACATTAATGATTCATTAAAAAATACCAGGAAATCAATACATTGCATTGCTGACAACAATACATTTGTCTCTCGCTATATTTCAAATAGGAGATCAGGTTGTCGATAGAAATTATCGCTTACAAAAATTATTTTTATATCTTGGTTCTACAAAGTTCTACAAAGATATGAAAAATACAGAAGATTTTTACTTTAGATAATACATAGCTGAAACGTCGCATTGCGAATTGTTTATATCAGAAATGGAGGCGCTAGAACCAAAAACCGAAATTCACCAACCCTAGTTTTAGGCAAATATTCCAAAAACAACCACCGATATTTCGATCTGAAAAGAGATTATCTTAGTTTCCCAAAAGAAAACTTTTGTATAATTTCACCCTTCTTTCTCAATTGCATTATTCCAAATGTGGGTGACATGCGATAGAAGATCGCCTGTTGATCTTTGTTTTCGAAAGCCATATTGATGATCGCTCAAGATGTTAAAGGCTTCCAAATATTCAAGGATATGGAGGTTTACGGAAGAGTAATAAAAGATTCTGAAACTTTCCAAATAAAAAATCAATATACCTTTCAGACACAACTACCCTATTCATCTAATAGTTGATATGCAGAAATTCTGATCTTGAAAAAAAAAATTGATATGTTTAGAACAGTTCAAAAGAATAACTAATTCCATACATTTGAAAAAATGTCATTGAATCATTTGAATACACCCATCAAAAACCCAGCACGGTCACCTGATACTTAGCCATTGGACTTTTACGGGGTATGCATACAAAACTAAACCACAAAAATTAGCTAACTTGAAGAAAATATAACGGTTTGTTTGCGTTTGTGTCGACAGTTTTATTTGAGTTTAGGGCATGGCCAAGATGTCTTAGATTACCTACAAGTAAACGGTAGAACTTTGAAATAAAAAATTGACGTGTTTTAGAATGTTTCATAAAGATGAACAATACTTGAAATAGAATTCTACACTGTATGTGTTTGTTAACAGTTCATATATTCCTACGAATTCTAAAGATTGAAATAATTCCATATAATTTTCACAAACTGTATGTTGCAATGATTATCGTATTTAATTCAGTAATCTGTGCATCAATCTAAATAAGACAGATTCTTCACTGAGCATTTTGTGTTCGTTAAAAACAACACGGCACTGTCCAACACAAAACGAAACATGAATATTACTGACTGCTATCTATTTGCTGTGTTATTCTTCGGTTTAGTTTTTTATTCAAAACACCTATACACTAGCCACACTACAATACAGAATATTTATCAAACTTACCCATTTTTGTTCTTATTTAATAAACGAGTCAAACACTATACAGAGATGAATTATTTTGTCAAATAAAAGTACATCTACTCTTAACCTATATTGTAAGAAAGTGAGGTTAGGCTAACGCAAACAGTCTATAGTGGCGTAATAGTTGTGTCGCATATTTGCCTGCATAGGCGTATCACATGCAGTTTTGAAGGGACGGAAAACTACACGAAGAAAATTGAATATTGTGAACGAAAATTATTTTTTGATTATAGGAAGAATTTGGAAATGTAAGTTTCAACTGAGACTGAGGAATCAACTTACTCAATTCAATATTTGAGAGGAGATGAAGGAAAATGTTGAAAAATTTCATATTTCATAAATGTATACATAGCGATCAAGTAGTGTGCAACAGATGAAAATTATTGTTATTCGTTGCACAGTTGAATATCCTCAAACGTTGGTGCATGTTCTATGACCGTATTAGATGCGCTTATGCTGGGTCGAAGTGAAACAGCAAAAAAGTCATGTTGAAAATAAGATTCAAGAATAAAATATCTTCACGATTCTGAGTTGGAAGTGATGCTCAAATGCATAGTAAATTTTTCATTCTGTTGCAATGATGAAAAATCGCTTTGACATGCCTTTTCTCAAATTTTAGCGTAGTTGTAAAATTGACCTGGGATTATGTTTTTTCTATGTTGACCGTCAAATAATTGTTTGTGGTAAAGATCTATTAGAACTCTAATTTTTTGCCAAAGATTCCATAATAACATGCATATGAAAAAACTATAAAGCCAAAGGGGCACTTTTTCCAAACACCAGAACTGCAATTATTTTCTTGGCGCGCATTTGATCAAGCAAGTTGACGTCTGCCGGAAATGCAGTGATCTGATGAAAAAACTTTGAATAGACGTGTCCAATATTATTTCGACCATCTTTGCTTTGGTGGAATATCTCCTGGGCAGCTCTCCACTATGAAAGGAGATGGATATTTTCAAATCCCCATCTGCACATGAGAGGGTCCAATCGGGGTATGGTTCGTTATCAAGGCCTCTTGATTATTAGAGTCTTTAAAAACATCATTGGTCATTGGTCTGGAGTTGAGAATGTACTTTACCTCAGTGAAAATATGTTCTTGTGGAAGTTTGACTTTCAGCACTTCATTCGCCAGAGATTTAAAAAATACGTGTTAGAGAACGGACTCAAACAACTGTTTTGGAGTTGATTCAGTGGAGAATTAATGTAATTGTTAGTTCCAAACTCATATTCGAAAAGCAAAACAGTCGGGTCCCTTTGAACACACCTATCAACTCAAGTCTTGGTATAAATTATGGCTTTAGAGGAACTCCACTAGTGTTGAAAACACATGAATATTTTCAAACTACCTTATATGAGGTAGGTGAGAACATCTCTTCTATTGGATTTTGAATGAATTGACACTTACTTGGATGAGGGAAGCATGTTATATATCAACCTCTAATGCAAAGAGTCTGAATCTCATTGTGTCACAAGGCACAGTTCTTGAGGCATTACTGTTACTAATATATGTTGATGATTTTTTTTTATATGGAAGTAGGGTATATAACAATGTTCCCGGATAACACCAACATAACTATATCTGGTCATAATGCAGAGCAACCTTCTGTCATGAATTTTGTGTCTGCTATCAGATAAACAAGCTAATACCAAATGTCTCTGAATTAGTATCTGTGAATGTTCACTTTGAAAAAAAATATATCAAATGAATAAAGCACAGTTGATGATATCCCAACCATAAACATATTTAAATTCCGAAGTGCATAATTGGACTCCAACTTGACTTGGGACAAGTGATTAGATAGTGTTTGTTTCGATCTGAATGAGGGTTTGTTCTCACATACAAAAATGTTTCGGAATAATTCGTAGAAGCAAGAAATCCCAAACAATCCGAGACACTTGGTTGAACCTGAACGCATTTTGTGGATACCACTGCGCCATCTAGCGTATGCATGAAAAGTTTCGATTTGGCAAGCAAGCAGGCAACTTTGAGATTCATTCGTAGTTCCAGTTGGCTGTCATTATGACATTTCTTGGGTGTTCACATTTGAATGAACAGATAACACTTCAGTGTTGTTAATTTTTTCATTTTCTTTGCTTTTATGCGAACATGTCAAGCAAAAAGTGACATTAAAAATATATATCGTCACTAAAATGTCCGCCACATTTTCTCGGGGTGCAGCGTATCCAAAACTTTCAATTTTCCATGACTATGGCGTATAAATCAGGCTAAATTTAAACGATGGCATGAGTTATGTTGACCCTGAAGACCGCTGTGATTTGTGGCTTATTCTCATACATCTGCGACTTAAGAAAATCTCACAAGAAAAAGTCTAACGGGGTCAAATCGAATGATCTCGGTGGCCAGTTCACATCAATTCTATGTGCAGAATATCAAATGTGGCATGAGCTGTGTGGCACGTAGCGTCGTCCTGTTGAAACCACATGTCGTTGGTTTCCAAATCGTCCAATTCCGGCCACAAGAAGTTGGTATCCATCGATCTATAGTACTCGCCACAGTGATGGCCTGGCAAAAGTCGTTTTCGAAGAAATATGGACCGATTACGCCGATAGCCCAAAATCCATACCGAATAGTGACTTTATTGGGATGCCTTGAACGCTCTTGGATCCCATGTGGATTGATATCGTCCCATATTCGACAATTTTGTTTGTTCACGCACACATATTCAAAACTGGGCTCCATTGCTGAAGATGACTTTTAATGAAAATGAAGTTCAGTTGCCAACTGCTCCAGAGCCCATTCACAACACGTCGTTGTCTATAGTCGTTTATCTTCAGTTCCTGGGCCAGTTCAGTTTTGAACGGATGCAGGCACATATAACAACGCAAAATTGGCCAAATTGTAGTCTGCGAAAGGTCGAACTCTTGTGAGCGAAGCGAAACGACTGCCTTGGGTTCTCTTGAACACTCTCACAGATGGCGGTGTTTTCGGCAAATCTTTCTTTTCGTCAACGTACACGTCTTGGTCGATCGTTTACTGAACCAGTGAACTCAAGTAGTTGTTTACAGCTGATTCTCGGCCTCCCCCCACCACTATGACGTATTAATTGCTTTTTTTATTGGTTGTTGTTTGGTGAAGTTTTTTTGTTGTGCAGTGAAGTCAAGGCGTTGTGACCTTGAAGTGTCTGGTGCATGGATCGTTCAGATTTTTTTTTCATATGAGATTTTGTGTGTTTAATTCTTGCACTAACGGATATGATCCAACGCCCTTCGTGGTATTGGCCAGGGGAGTAGTTGTTTTCTGATAGATGTCAGTTCATTCAACCTACTGTGTAGGTATATTTGAGACTGGCTTGAACGTTCAAATTTCATTTCTTTAGATTTGTTTACTGTCAGTCTTCAAGCATAGCCCACTGACGAATAAGAAAATATTTCAGTATAGATTTATGTCTTGTCAATGAACTTTATGTTCCTGAAGACTAATGAATCAATTAAATTGAATTGAAACCCTTCATGAAAGATTACGATAATGTCCACGAATTTACTTCGTTTGTCATCTTTTGTGGTCTTTTCGAGAAACGAATCGACTTTTTGCTGTATTCCTAATGTAAACGTCCGTAGCACGTATAATATCTCATGACAGCTTTTCTCCGCTAGATTGCCTTTGTATCCTTTTGGGAGACATGTTTGTACGCTAACTTCTGGTTCTAGCGAAATGGCCTCGGCTATTTACTTCCGTTTTCTTTTCTAGGAAAAGAATAAAGCTCGCGTCATCAAGGCTTCGTATAATTGAAATTCAGCATTTAATTGCCTTTTTAATGATTACTATTGTACATTATGAAAGGATATTATCATGCTCCTTTGTGTAGTACTTACAACGTTTGTTGTAGAGAAACAAAGTCGTTTCAACTGATAATGAATGAGTAATACTACTATACAGTGCAATAGTAGCATTGTAGTATTTTCAATTGAAATGGGTTGCTAATTACTGGATTGAAACTAAGTGTTACTGTTTATTGTGTAACTTCCACTATAAAGGGTTTTACAAAAACCAAGACACGTATTTTGCTAAACAATAGCTTCCTCAAGCGTGAAATGAAAATTCCTTCGAAAAATTAATGAAAATCGTTTATTCCAATTTGTTTGATAATAACATTACATTTGTTGGGTATGTTTGTGTGGGGCGCTGCTATAGGCTAATGCCTCTTCAGGGTAAGTATGCTGTATGTTTGTGTGTTTTATTGTGTGTTGGAGTCTGTGTTGTGTTGTTTTTGTGTTCCGCCTATTAATATAGTTTTTCCGTTGATCCGTATGGTGGTCCGGGTCCATTGCAGAGGTCGTGGTTGTTCTTTTTGGGTACGGTTTTTTTGGCCGGGTCTGCGGGAGGGTGAAACTCTTCGTATTTCAGGTTTTTCCAGGACGCTGCTATCCGCTGTCCGCTATCTGATCCTCAGTGGGAGTTCCTCTAGGATATCCTGAATCGGCTCCGGCGGGTCTTCCATTGCTCCCAGGAGTAATTTTTTGTAATCCTTTCGATGTTATGAATTACTTGATCGTGAAATGCTATTTCATCTTCATTTCATAAAGTGGATTTTAAAATGTTCACTTCCATATTATGTTAGGTCTAGAGTGGGTCTATTGAACCCTCTATCGCAACCCGCAACACTTTCATGTAATTTGAAAGTAACTAATGAAAAGATAATAATGAATTAGTATGACATGAAATACTAATACGCTATAGTCTGTGTATATTAGTATTATGCAATATAGTGACTATATTATAATGAAAGACTAAACGAAATAGTAAAAAAATCTCCCCAACATTCTCGACAGAATGAAGACAACTTATTTATATCTGTCACACAAATCAAAATGTCCACACAAATATTACATTCAAACATCCATTCAAAAAAAATCCTCGTTCTCCGTTGGATTGTTCAATTTTTCATCAACAATCCAAACTTTTTCCTGCCCTCCACAGGCGGTCTGTACACTGCAAATTACTGAATTAGAAAATTGCTCCAGCTGACGCCGGGTGTAATTTTCTAGTTGAGAATACAAAATTGTAAATAGAAATACAATTCCCGAGATTTAATAATAAAAAGTGCTGGACGCAGCGAAGAGAACGATTTATC